CCCTGGCAGCTTCTCATCTCCATCAGCTGGGAGTGCAGCTGGTTGAGGACGTCCCTCTCCACAGAGAAGACGGCATTCGTCAGCTGCCCGAGTCCGGGAGGACGGAGGTCCATTAAAGACACACCGCGGTGGGCAGAGACACACGCACACAAACACAAACAGAGCGGCACACAAACATACACAGTTACAGATACATGTTCAGCAAACCTTGCTTACCTACACATGCAGCTCTCAACTTACATAAACCGACTTAAGTAAATCCTGAAATATCCAAGATACATAGGGTTTACGGAAGCACCAACATGAAAAGGCAATAACTAAGTAAATTTACACTTACATTTATTTAATATGTGTTCTTTAGTGTATATTACTAGCATTTTGTGTATATTATAATGCCCCATAGAAAAGAACCTGAAACTCACTATAATACAAGTAGATTTCTGGCTGATTTAGGGTCTCTACCCCTCACATATTTGATAAGGTCTCCTGCAGCTGCTGGAATGGACTGGGACCACCCAGAACATTCCAGGGCACGCAGTGCCCAGTTTCGCCTGCTCACCTGATACGGATCACTGTTGAGGTCAAAGTACTCCAGGAAGCCCGTGGCGAACTCACAGAAGAGGGTGTTGTGAGTCTCGTTTATAGTCCGCAAGCACCAGTAGGTGTTGTTGTTGGAGCTTGTACAGGCACAGAAGCCCCCCACTGCAGAAAGAAGGGGAGAGATCAATGTGACATGGTCTTTTGGGGGGCCACCTGTCACACCAACAGCTGGGGGCGGGGGGGGCATTGACGTACAGTTCCAGAAGGGGGCTGTCTGCCAGTGGTCGTTGTTGTGCGTGAAGCAGGTAAGGCCCGGAAGGCTGCAGTCGTCCCCCTTGCGCTGCCGTTTCTTCAGCTTACGCTCCTTCTTCTTCCTGCGGATCTCGTTAAACAGCTGCGACTTCCTGTCCACCTCTGGCACCACCTCCCTGACAGAGCCAACCAATCAGAAAGCGGTGCACTTACTAACCAATGACTGAGTGGATTTTACACACATTACACATAGAGGACTTTTACTGAAGTAAATGCTGGCTTAACCTTGTCCATATCCCAGCAACTAGAGGCCTCTTTAACCCCCAGAGTAACATTAAAAAAGCTCTTTAATGCATTTAACTGTGTTACAGTAGATTAGGCCCCCAATGCCAATTTAGTGTGTATGAAACTGAAGGGCAAACAGATTCACGGGGGCTATTCACCATGACGAGGGCACCTCTGCTCCCCCCCCAGCACGTCCCTTATGCCACTGAGGCGGACTCTGGCTCTAAGAGGATGTACAACTGTTCCTGACTTCACGGCCCCAGTAAAATGTAATGTGAATGTAAAATCATTACTATTAATAGTCCAGGCTCCGCCTCCCTCTAGTTCCTATGATTACAGGAGAATGTACAGCAGTGGGCTTTAGCAGTGTCACACACTGCAGGGGATGGACAGAGGTGAGGAAGAATCAGAAAGAGCCAGAAAAAACTGCCATTACTCTCCCTCAGGGCAGCCGTGATATAGTGAGAATGAAGGCTCAGGAGACTAAGGGATTATGGGATATCACGGCAAGCAGAAAAATGGAGGGACTCCTGACATGATCCATTAGCAAGAGCCTGTAGCAAAGCTGTGGGACAGAGGGACCCTGGGGCTTTGTAAAGGGGCCTTTGTGTCTGGGTGCAGTGAAGGTGACAAGAACAGGGTAGTTAGCGGCTAGCAGCTAGCGGGACTGACCTCTTCCGGCCACAGTCGCACTCATCGGGTCGCCGCCGTTTCAGGTGTCCCCGGACCTCCCGCAGGTTCTTGATTTTGTCTTGAAGAGCTTCGATCTGCATCCAAGCGTAGAGTGAGAGTCGCGGTTGGTGCCGCGTGGCGGTAGACAGACCGACGGTGCGGGGGATGGACTCACCTCTTGATCTACGTAACTCTTATGGTCCTTCCAGGCCCGGGATGACTGGTAGATCTCCCTCTCGCAGTGTATGGTGTCGTTGGTCAGGATGTAGCACCTAGAGAGTGGCAGGGAGGGGTCGGTCACTGGGAGCTTCCCCTACGCCTCACAGGGATATGAGCCTGCACCGGTTACACGGATCAAACTGGGGACTCTCTGACTTTACTGGTTCGTGTCTCAGAGCAGATACTGTATTATCCGTCACAGATTGTGGGATGGTGTTGCCCAGAGTGACGTTTACCTCACCTCACACCATGCATTTGTGTGGGGTCCCAAGTCCTGGGAGGACCCCTGTCAGCCACAAATAGTCACTACACTGCGGGGGGGGGAGCAAGGGGCCCCAGCGACAACAAACGCCGCCGTGATGTTCGCTCGATGACAGCATGTCTCCTCTAAACTGAAGGGGATCTCTGATGCCCCCACCTGGTAACTCTGAGTTCTGCACTATGGTGGACTGGCTCACTTGTGCGTGACTTTGATGGAGTTGGGATATCCGACCGCATTGGTGTCGTCTGCCAGCATCTCCTCCGAGGCGTCGTCCGACTCCAGGCCGAAGTCCACGTCGCCCGTTGGCATGTCCTGCCGCTTGCTGATGCTCCGTGGGACCAGGTCCGACTTGTCCTCGGCCTGCAGGTCGATGTCGTAGATCCGGCCCTCGAACTCCACTGCCAGAGAGCGGGACGGCCGCATGTGAACAAACCGAGGCCGGAATCCTGGGGGAAGAGAGATAAGGCTCCGTGCGTTAAGCCCCACCGAGTATGACAGTCCGGCTGTTCAAAACCTAAACGCAACTAACATTTCTACCACTAGGGGGTGCACCAGCACCACTTATTCCAGCCAACATCCACTGGATATGACAGGCGGCCTGACAAAGTCAATGAAACGCTCTCCTTACAGCCCCGCAGGTGCGCTGTGTTTCCATAGCAGCCACGTTACGAGATTTCAAAGCAGCGACAGCAGCTCTGGGAGCAGATCAGCTTTCTGCAGCGTTTCCAGGACGCCGCTCTTCCAGCTTTAATTACCGCTACATTTTTACCATAATCACAGTGACATTTCACAGGGTACACAAAGACACCGGGACGTCTAAAATAATCATGCACCCCAACCAAGCCCCCATCCCTCCCCCCATTGACTCACGTGGGCTGCCTGGCTTGCCAAAGGGCCTCTGGGTACGTCGGCCCCCGCCGGCGGCACGGTACGGCGGCTCCCCGCAGTCACACTCCGTCTCACGGCTATCATAGCCACGGCCCCGCAGGCTCCTCGCCTTCTTCCTGGGGCCCTCCTTCAGGGGCCCCTTGCACTTCTGGATCCGCCACTTGCCCGCGACGTCCTCCACGCAGTGCCACTTCTGCCCGGCGCCAAAACACAAGACGGCGGGGAGATCAGAGAGAGGTACGTCTGCGCCGACGCCCTGTCTGGCAGCTCGGGGCGTGGATCAGGACCTCCCAGAGATAATCGCTCTTGTTCTGCGGCATCTCGCCGCACGAGGCCCCAGGGAAGCTGTGTGCTGCCACATCCCGCACGAGGCAGAAAGGGAACCGCGAGTTACGGACAGAAACCCCTTTATATGGACGCAGGCTGGCGGAGCGCGGTGTTGTGCCACCTGCTGTCCTGTTGGGCTGTACCAGACACAGAAGCATCCAATATCTGGCACCAAACTACAGATACTACTGCTGACTGCTGATCACACATCTGCATGGAGCTGAGACCCTCAACGCTACAGGCATGTTCTGGGACTGCCACGAAGGGACAGTGGGGGCCACTCGCCGTCAGCCGCAGGATGTCCCCCCCCCCCCCCCCGGCACTGCTCTCCCACACGTGACTGCACTGGGCCGAAACTAAATGCCCACGAGACGGCAGACAAATGACACAGAGGACGCCCCTCTTGGGGGCCGGGTTCGATGGCAGCCATAGACCCCAGAAGTGGAAGAGCAGAGTTGGGGACGCTTTCGTGAAACAGGAATAGGTCTCTGAGTGGCATTTAAACTCGGCTCTGAGGGTCACTTGCAGGAATAGCTGTCCAAAAGGTGCTTATTCTACATCAACATCCTGCTAAATGCTCCTGACACTGTAGCGATTGTTCTTTTATCAACTTTTACTGATTGTCTTCTAAACCCCCCCCCC